AAATTATACCAATCAAACACAATTAATTACAATTCGCAGGAAAACATTTTCTAGAAAAATCTTTTCCCTGTAAAACATTTTCTTTCCACCCATTTTCCACCCTTGCAATCAAACGAACCCTTAGAGTAACTTTTAGAACTTACAGATATTCAATGTTTCTTCTTCTTTGGAAATGTACCCTTATCTGTTGAGTTTTCATTGGATTATGAACTTTAGAACTTCTAGTTTTTTTTTTTTAAATTCATAGTAGTAAGTTTACTTAAAACTTTTTTATTCTTCTTTAGAAATGTGTTTTTTTTCCCTTGTTTGTTTGTTTTCTTCGGCGAACGTGGCCGCTGCGTACATATTATTTTGTTTTTCTTGTATCTTTATGTTCAAGCAACGATGTGATTTCAACCCTACCTTTTCCTTTATACTGGCATTTTACTGCAATAATTGTTGCACAATACATTCTGTTTTGTGAATATTAGATTATGGCTACTTGTTTTAGCATTGAGTTATGCATGCCCTTGCGATTATTTGGATTTTGGTGATAGAATATTTAAGTCGAAAAGCATTTCACTTCATTTATGACTTCCATGATTTTACACAATCTTGGGTGGGTTTTCAAGTTTCAGAATGGTAGAAGTCCAATATATTTGTTTCTGGAAAATGTTTTCTTCTGGGTTGTATACATTCATGCACATGTTTCCATGGTATAATTTAACTTCTGCTTATCTCAGAAAGAGATGTATCCTGTCCTTTGGCTACTAAGTTAATATACTACTTAAGATGAAACAAATCAGCTGCGAGTCTCATTATTATGTCTTGCCTTCTTATTGCAGTTTAATCAGATTTCAAGAGCTTTGTTTTAAGCAATAAGCTGTAGAAGCTTCATTCAAAAATATCATCATGAGGTCGCTTGTGTTTCTTGCTTCTTTTTGGTGGTCTAGAAATATTGTGAAACGGAGACTGGAGTTGACGTGTTTACAATTCCATTGCATTCATCAGAATCCAACAAAGCAATGGGTAGGATATGGATAATTTGGAGGTAAGAATTCAACTTTCTGAATGAGTCATTTTCCGTTGCTTAATGACCATAAATATTTTGTTTGGGATATGGAGAATTTGGAGGTAAGACTTCATCTTTCTGAACAAATCATTGTCTATTGCTTAATGACCACAAATATTTGTTTATTGGCTTCCTTCTTACAAGTTATAATTATGGATATTTTCAACTGCTCCTATAGATTGTGTTGTTGTTCCACCCTGTCATCCGTCAATGGTTGTATCCATATGTAGTTAAGCTTGGCAGTTGATATTTTGCATGCTCTAAAGAGTCGAACTGGTGCTATATAGAAGCACGTGAATGGATAACCCACAATTATGGAAAATAGTCAAATACAATGTGCATTTAGAAAGTTGTCTAGTATGACCAGAGTATGCCACAGAGAATTGCCTAAAAACCTTAAATCAGTTGTGTACAAAGGACTTAAGTCTATGATTTCAGTTGGAAATGCTTTGATCATAAGATTCAAAACTCTTTGTTGAACAGCTTAAAATGTGTCTAGAGTTGTTTGGCTAAAGGACGAAGAAAATTGGTATATTTAGCACTCGTGAAAGAGTTCTAAGACTCTCAAACAAATTCTCAAGTGTTAATTTAACAATTAAGTTTAATAAAGGTAATATAGGCAAGTAATGTTAACAACAATCTATAAGTAATAACATGAAGGGTACAGTGATAAGTCTTGACGTAAATGATTGAGCATGAATATTTAGAGTTCACAGAAATTTAAAATTGAATTTACGAATTTACTTAATCCACTAGTGAAGTACTAGTTTACTGTACTCGACAGTCTTGATTAAAGAAATATGACCCTAAAATCCTCTCAAGGACTTGCAATTGATGCTAAAATTTCCCCAAGGGATTTAGCTAATAAGCAAGTTAAGCTCTAATTAAGTTACGAGGATATAAAAATCAAGCTTAAGCTCACAAATAAGCTCAAGTTGGTTACAAACATCGATTTCTGATAGTGCTTAATTAAATTTCATCCTTAAAACACAGCATTCAACACACTTTTCATATACAACACTTCGTTTGGAATCAACAAAACTGGATGCATTTATGGGATTTAAATCCCCCAACACACTCTACAAACAGTTCCATTCGAGAGATTCTTTGACTGGATGCTGGAAAGTGGAAACTGCTATACTCAATAGCAGAACAATGAACTCAACAGTTATGGTGGGTATTGTCACTACATTCAAGTCCAAGTCATATGAAGGACGCCTTGTTGATTTAAAGTTGGAAGTAGTTGGTCCTTGCATCTATTGCAACATCTTCTAAATTCTCATTTGCAGAAACTTAGGAATTTACATATAAACAATTTGTGTTAGACGTCCAAATCTCTGATCTCTTTTTGCCCCATACAATGTGTGAATCTAACTGATGATGATACGGAAGACTAAATGCGTATGAATTGTAACAACAAATAGTCTGTCATGGTTTGACCTCAACTGGTTACTATTCTCTTTATCTTAATCATATACAACACTGGTAAAGGAAGTATATAAATTTGGTTGAGTAAATTCAATAAGATTTCACCCACTCTTTATAATGTGAATTTGCCGTGTGCAAGTGGGCTTTGGCCGCCACGTGTCAAGAGCTCAGTGGAATAATGGTTGATGCTGATCCAAGTTGTTATTGTATCAACTGTATTGATTAGCCTTATATTGGGGATGTAACATATATATAATATATCTATATGAAGTAAGAGGATGTTGATATGATCTTTTGGAAGTCCTGATATTTTCCAATATCTGAGCGATTTGAATTATATTTTGCTTGGTGGTGAACTAATTGAACGTTTTTTACATTTGCAGGACTTGTATGGCCCCTAATGTCCTGCTTTCTTTTTCCGTCTTAACTGTTGTTCAATCTGAGTGAGGGTTCCAGAATCACAGGGGTCAGTTGACCCCTCAAAAAAGTTGTCTTAGCCGGAAATAGTATCCATTGGCACGATTTTGCCTGAATTCATGGAGAAGTGGCGCCACCATTAGGTGCTATGTAGGCATATTCTAGCTTGGAAGTTGATGTGCAGGAAATTGTTTCTTTGCAGTGCAATTACAATGACTTGCAATATTCTTCGCATCAAAAGTTAGAGCAAAATGACTGCTATCATTTAGAATCTCCTTTTTCTCTCAAGTTTTTTTTGGGGGAATTAACGCCCAGCCCAAGTATAAGAAATTCTGTACAGTGGAGTTTCATCATCCGAATCTTTTTGGGTTCACAAGGTTGGAAATCAGCCAAATATTCGTGTAATCTGTTGTAACAGTTTTTTAAAAGCTTTAAGCTCTCAAAATATAATATGATTTAATTTTCAGTTTTGTGTTGGTTTTAAATTTTTGATTAAACACAAAAATAAAATATTTAATTATATAGTGTAACTTATTTTGAAAGGATTAATGGGGCGGGTTGAATTTTACACTATAAAATGAGGTGAAATTTCATTGGAAAATATCTTGAAAACGCTTGAAAATATTCCCTATACATTTTTGATTTTGGCATCTTAATAGAGAATCTTTTTTATCACCATGTAGCTGTACTCATAGAATGAGAATTAGAGGTGACTTATAAGGGGTTTTATCTCAGAGTCGTATAATATCGAAAGTATACAAGAAAAATTCGTCGGTGATTATGACCGGAAGTTTTGTCACATAACCATAGCCCTACAATGATGAATATTAAGTACATGACGTCACAAGTTACGTAAACTCCATAGCTGAAATTAGATGTGATTCAAATGTTACAAAAAATTGTGCGTCGCGCCGCGACTATGGAATATTACATCACCTACCAAACCCCATAGGTATCTCTTTCTGTCATCGATGGCATGTCCTCAATGGCAGCCATACATCGAGTGAAAAATATGAAAATATGAGAAAACTTGACGTCTAAAAACTAAGAAACAAATTGACTAATTTTAATTCTGAAAACAATCTCATGCATGTGAATTTCAAGATTAGAATATCTAGCTTTGTAGTTGCTTTTCAAATAGAAATTTTCCTAAAAAAAGTAAATTGAAGAAGTGAATATAAAAATGCAAGTAAATGAAAGTCTTGCTAAGTTCTCGTACATATCAAAGGCGACTCAAATTATTTCCTCTCAGTGATAAAATTCTTTGATTTTAACTGTAAAAACCATTATATAAATTTTATTTGGATCTAAGACCAGGTGGATCCGTGGCGCAATGGTAGCGCGTCTGACTCCAGATCAGAAGGTTGCGTGTTCGATTCACGTCGGGTTCAATCCCCTTCATTTTTTGACTTTGGATTCTGAAGTATGTTAGGTTTTCCCCGGTGTATAATCCAAAGTTGTAAATTTTTTCCATAATAATAATGCAGTTTGGAAATGAACTTAAAACTTTCTAGTGATTGTGACATATTTCATAAAGCATATCTATTCTTTCAACCACACATTCTAATAATAAAATATTTTTTTATGTAAATTCAAAACTTTTTCCTATTTTTTAAGTTTTAACCACACATTCTTCACAAAATAATTAATCAAAAACTCATTCTTCCAATAAAATGTCAGTCAAATGGGGCCTTTTTTCAATCGCTATGGCATTATGTATGTGATGTAATGAGAACACGAAGATGTTATGATAATATTCAAATGCGACTTTTCACAATAGCTTTTAGAATATGGACGATCTTGATATTTTACTTTTTAAGATGCACACGTTGTTACATAAAGTAAAGTTTTAAATTTTCAAATTTTCAGTTTAATTACAAAATCGAAAAATATAATTTCATTGGATAAAATTTCATTATTGTGGAGGGTTGATTTTTATTTCAATATAACAGGGAGGAGATGTTTCATTGTTTATCACAACTTGAAAAATACTTGGAAATACTCCTTATACATTTTATACTATATTATGATTTTGGCAATTTAAAGACTCATTATTTATCTCTATGTGGCCATTCCCATGAAATGAGAATTAACTGTGAACTATAAGGGTTTTATTTTAAAACTGTGTAGTGTCGAAAGTACCTGCACGGAAAAAAAAAAAAAAGTCACGATTTTATAACAACTTTCCTTACATGACTTCTTATGGGTTGTTTTTTAACTCTCATCTTTCTATTATATTATAGTTGAATTATATTTATTATTTTGTTACGTTAATTAATAATATACATACAAATCACTCATTTTTTTTTTCCAACCATGTATTCTCGATTCAATTCTACATTTTAAATTTTGGTATTATAATTCTTTAATTTGTTATATTGAAAATAGATATAGACTTGATTTCGTGACTCATCCAAATGACAATCAAAACACACTATAATTGGTGCAATTTAGGCAAGGGGAAGTCATGAAATATGGATTAGTGTTCTATAAGCATGGAATGCAGCCAACGTTCAGGTGCATGTCATGAGTTCAAGGTTCGACGTGCATCGAGGGAATGCAGCCAACATTCAGGTGCATGTCATGAATGAGTTCAAGGTTCGACATGCATCGAGGCAAGTCCGCAAATGAATGTGACAGCCCTTTATCCAAACCAAGAGATGGGTAACTTCATCCACAGCCAGTTATGCAAAGTGGTGGCTGTCAATGACTTAAAGCTTAGCTCATGATATTCAACCAGCCATGATCGACCTGGGATTTTCTTCCTTTTCCCCACTTTTTATTTCTTTCTGATAAATATTTCATTGAGATTAAACGAAGTGACAATTTTAAGTGGCCAAAAAAAAAGCATGTACACCTGGCATACATGCTGAACTAACAGGCTTTTGGACGATTTCCATCCATAATTTACCAAATGTTTGGAATGTGGTGCCAAAAAATAAAGTTTTTTGCCATTTGCACATTT